TGATGTTGGTTTTGTTGTTTCAAAAGTTTTTTACTTTTGACACAAGTGCAGGACTGAAAGTGTGTCTGCTCTACAATTACTGACATGCATTGATCTGGGACTGTGCTATCACATGACGTGAAGTGATGACAGCTGACGAACATGATCTAACAACAGAAGAGGTTCTAAGATAGAGACCATTTTTACAAATAGATATCTCTGCTATAGAACTGGAGGAGAGTGTCTCTACTGACAAACTGTCTTTCTAGCCAACAACGAACATGATGTTTACCGCAAAGTAGTTTTCTTCTTCCACCATAAAGATCTATCTATTTACTTTCATGCCATATGTGCTAAATAAAAAAAAAGGAAACTAATATAATATAAAGCTCCATGCTGCAAAGACATGAAAGCAAATATAAGAGGAAGTTAATGTGCCTCCATCTGTTACATAACAACTATCTAAGACTTTTATCATATCCCTGTGAAAAACATCAAATATCTTTACATCCTAATAACACATTCAAAAGTGAACAATAGATGAAAAGATTAAATAAATAATGGATGGTCTGTCAGACACTCCAATTAGTGACCATAGTGATTCGACTGCACAAAGGCTGAGAGAGGGGAACTGATTCAATGCTGGATGAATGACCTGTTAGCAAAATCAAAGTTGCCACATCTTCGAGCTCCACTTTGTAATGTGTCTTCAATAACCTTCATTAGTCTGTGTGGATTCTTTTATTTGTAGTATTGACATGGCACATCATAGCATTTAATGAGAAAATGATTCCTCTGAGATTAAAAGTCTCTCTTTTAATGACTTCTCCCTCCACGAGGTCATCTCATGTGGCCCAGCTGCAGCAGCCATCTCATGCTTTTTTTTGTTTCAAATTTGACTTTTGTTTCTCTCTCATCTCCTTGACATATGAAGCCGGCCTCTCACGTGGCGCAGTGTCACCCACTCACGGCCCCAGCTGACGTACGCAGCTGAACATTTCTATAAAAAACTGCAGCACGGGACAGATAACAGAGACAATTGACATACAATAGACAATGTCAGCTCTAACCTGATGGTAAATCTACTTCTCGTCTCGCGCCCAGTAAGAAAAAAAAAACGCCTGGATGTTAATAACCAATCGATATGATTCGCTAACTGTGCCAACTTGTTCACTTTCATCAACATAACTTATGAGACTAACTAGATTTAAATAAATTAATAAATCAGTAAGAGGATCTACACTGCATAATTCATTTGAAGAGAACACATTGGTACAGAGCAGTTACAGTGTTCTGCTTCCTCTAGGGCTTTCTGGGGTTTCGTCATCTCTGCACTAGCACGGCTATGTCTTATAAGAACAAACACTGCGCAGCACATCTGTCAGACACGTGCATTTTTCCCAAGCAGGAGACAAGGAATCCTTGACACAGAGGCCCTCAGGTGATTAAAGGTGATTTCAAATGTTCTGCATTTACGCTATTTACACACTGCAAAATGCATCAAAGAAAAAGTGCATCACTTATCAATTGAGGAAATCTATTTGCAGAGAAAATGCTTATGCAACATTCCCAAAAAATTTTTATTAGAACATATGTCTGTCCATTATGTGTGACATCAAAGGGCTTGTATGGCAAGCCAAGAGATTCAACGTGGCATTTGTCGGTGACTCATATTAAGTGAGGTCTTATTTTTCTATACAGGTACATTTATACAGCTAATAAGGCTTAATGTTGCATTAGTCATGGATTAAAACTGCGTGACCCACCTTGTAATGTGGGATTTATTAAAGTGATTATTTATTAATCCATCGGAACCTACTGCCTTGCCCAGGGATGAACCCATGTCTGCAACAAACCCACTCACAATCCTGTGCCAGCTACCGAAGCAGAGCATGCTGGGAGGACTTGGCAGGGAATGAATAAATGAGCTTGCTGTGGCGTTCCTGTGTATGTTGGCTTTAAAGAAGCAGAGTGCATTGACCAAGCGTAGGTTCTTGGTCCTATTTTGAGCGTGCAAAATTGTGTTATTTGGTATTTTTGCAATGTGTTCTGCAACCACATCAATGTTTTGATATTTGTTGATGGGCATCAGGGGAAGCTCACGCACAACAGCGCTCGTCTTGCAAATGATTACATGAAACACTCCAATTCCAAGAAATTCCAAGGTTGTCCACCTCATCGTGCATGTCTTTCACCTCCTCAGCCCGTGTAGGACAGGGCCAGTCTACAGTGACAACACGGAGCTTAGCACATCATTACAGCACCTGATGAATATTTTAGCACAGCACAGTCAGCGAGGGGGCCATATTCTTTTTACTGGCTCCCCATCTTCCTTTTTGATCCGCCCGTAATGTGCCACTGAATCCCAAAGTTCTACTCTTTGCCTGCCATTCTGTGTCAATGCCATGCATAATGGATAAAACCAAGCCATTCACATCAGTATTAATGGCAATGTGTAATGTGGGGGCAATACATTCCCATAAATTCTTAGACACGGTTGGACTGTCCCACACTAACTGAACCAGGCATCCATCAAGGTAATAAGATAAAATCAAGATTCAGTGAATGTGAGACATGGGGTCACAGAAGGGGTTGGGTGGCTGCCCTTGATATCGTCTCTTGCATATGTTGCTTTAAGCTGCAGAGGAGGATTAGTGCAAATGGCATCATTCCTCTTCTCCTCACTACAACGTCCTCCACGTCTCCTTGAAGAAAATCTAAATGGCTTAGAGTGGTCGAATTTCCCTCAACAATAAATTGAAGTAGACAGTGTGAGAGATGGTCCGGCTTGAATCTAAGGCCTTGTGAAAGCTTTCCACTCCTGGCTATTCTGTGAAATACGTGGAGTGGTCAGTGTCCGTCAGAAGACTCTGCGTCATTCACGGATGCAGCTCCAGCTCTCATGTGAAACCGGTGCGTTGCAAGCGTGGACAAGAGTTGCTAATTGGGTGAGAGTCTCTTGCTGTATCAGCTGGCCACGAGCTAGCCCCTGATAATGATACGTGTCCACCTTCTTAAAATAGGACGTCGAAACGCTGAAACACAGGTTGGTCAACAACTCTGAGGCCACATGTGACTCCCGGAGCTAAGAATAAGCAGAAACCTTAGCACGTTAACAGTCACCGTGAAGTCAGCAAGCCATCAAAGACAGGGTATTAATAGATCAGAACTGTGTCTTCAGGATCAACAACAGCAGAGGGTCTGAAATGGCCAGTTTAAAATCCCTATAGTTGCTTTACATACACAATCTTCAAAGAAATAATCGGTGAAAAAAGTATTATGGATGTATGAGAAAACAAGGAGCCACATCAAACACAATGTGACTTTCTATTTCCTCAGAACCAATTATGATTGAAAGATTCATCATAAAACTGTTTTCCAGCAGAAAAGTGTACGCCATAATTGATGCCTCTGACACTTCAGTCCCTTCGATGCTCAGTCCCTCCTCGAGTCAGGTTAGATATAAAATAACACCCGGCTAATGAGGCATAGAGACAAAAGCATCAGAAAAAACATCTGCAGCAGCCCCTCAGCTCACTTTTGTTGACTGTGAATACTTTCCCTGACAATAGATTCTGTTATTTTGTGGGGGGAAATGATCCATTGAGAAGTAACACAAGCGATGATGGGTCATGCATTGTTAATGCTATTGGAACAAGTTTTGAGTTTGAACGAATTCGTGCACAGAAGGGTTGAATTCTTGAGATACTTGTGTCCAGATGTCTCGAGTATTGTGCCTCATCTCGGCTCTTTGCTTAATCTGAAAAGAGCATTTGCCTGACCTACTTATGGTTTCTCCACAGCTCAAGCTGCTATATATTTCATATTTTGCTGCAGTGGAGCCCCATGTTTTTTCATTTTTATGAGCATTCTCTATAAGACAAACAGGAAAACAAACAGGAATGGGGAGTCATCTGAAAAGAACTTAAATATTATTTGGTATTTATTATTTTTGATCATAGTGACACAGGCAAGTGTTCGGGTTCGGACACTGATTTTTTTACTGTAATAACCATGCATGTCAGCTGCTGTGTAACAGAAACAAAGTGCAGTTTACATTGACTGCATGGGGCTCGGGTTGGGTTCAGACTTAAAAAAACAAAATGCCCGTTGGGTTTGAGTTGGACTCCGTTAGTTTTCCCTAATGCTCAAACGGGTTCGGACAGCAGCAGAACTCTAATTCACACCAAGTCAATTGAGTTGGACAGAGACACTCTCTCCACCTGTCACTGAAAAGTGCCTTGCAGCTGTGATGTCGAGGAACAATAACATTCCTTCAATCGTCAGCCCACCACAGTGCTGCAGTGTTTAACATCTACATTACTGACGTCAGATCACCATACGTGAATTTAACGTGTTTAACCTCGAAGCTATTCAGATGTGTTTTCACATTATCCCAGAAAGACTGTTAGAGACTGTTCTATGCTACAAACCTTTGAAAGTAAGCTGTGCTGAATTAAGAATAGTGCAGTAAATGTATACTTTTGATTCAAGTATTGTGTTACAATACTTAAATGCAGAGAGGATCATCTTCTAGAAGGTTGGTGGTTTGATCCCTGGCTCCGGCAGTGCCTACAGTGTATGGATGGTATAATAGATGTGTGTAGAGGTGCTGTACGAATGTATGCGTAAATGGGTGAATGTGACTCATACTGTAAAGTGCACCGAGTGGTCAATCGGGCCACTTGCAGGTATTGCAGAGGTGAGAAATAAATAAATGACGTTTCAATGGGCATCTTCTCCCTTTTAGAAAACCAAACACTGTCCGACACAACCCAGTGAGACTCAACCACGTGTGCTGCCAGTCACACTTTGAGCGCATGTAACCCATTGACCATAGAGCCCATGCATTCATTGTCGCACATTACAACAGGCCCAAACTGACCCTTGACTTGTGTCCAGGCCTGTTGCTTTGCTTGTTTTCTCTTTGCCATCCCAAAGAAACCTCACTTCAGCTGCTGTTCGGCCTTTTCATCCAACGGCCAGGCCACACAACTAGTGGACGGTTTCTGTTTACTCACCCTTTTGCCCTCTTTGCCTGGCTCCCCTGGCTGACCTGGCAACCCGGCCAGTCCCTGCAGAAAGGACATGTGTCATAATGAATTTCGGCACTTTAGGGAGGGATTGTGCTCAAACTGATGGAGACAGATGTTTCTGCCAAATGTTATCTGCGGACCAGTTGAGAACAAGTGGGCTTATTTGCAGAGATAGGAAACATAGGAAGAGCTTAGACTTCTCTCTAATAGGCAATTTTCAGCCTCGCTTGATCAGAGCTTCATTCCATTATTCTACACAGTATCTTAATAAGGAACTATTAACAAGTTAATCAAGGTATATGCTCAGCCGTGATTTTGTTTTGAAGTTCCTCTGCAAGGATATGCTCATGGTGCTTCAATAATTGCTTGATGAACCTAATAGTTGTGCTTAATTGCTTGAGAACATGTTATGTTATCCCACAAGGAAAACAAATACTAGTGAGATTCTCTACTTAAATGTGGTGATTCATTTCTTACCTTTTCTCCTTTGTCACCTCGAGGGCCCTGAGTGTGGTAAACAAAGATTTATGTTAGCAAGAAAACAGAAAAACAAACTTTAGATGTTTTCAGCAAGAACAATATAAATTTAGTTAAACTACCTGATCTCCTTTGATACATTCTCTGTCAACCTGGGAATCAAACAAACAAGCAAACATAACATAACATGTCAGTCAGTATAAGGACACACTGCACATGATTCATATGTGGTTTAACAATAGTAGACAGCTACAGGCAAGCAAAACAATTGGTCATGAGGAACAGTAATTATCCTTGGCCGCGGTGACCCTGAGAAAAGTTAGGGCATGACTATTACAACTCCCCAGACACCCTGCTGGCCACTGTCAGAAAAGGGCAGACAGAGTCGTCTGTCAACCGGGCCACAAAATGGATACAAGGCCACATACAACATCTCAGCTTTCAATACGAGCCAGATAATTGGTGTCTTCTTTCAATTGGCATCCAAAAGTCAAACGCTGTTGACTTTTCTTGGAAACAGCTGCAGAAATGGACATTCACAACATACTGTCCATCATGTTAGACAGCGACCTCACACGAAATAATAAAAGGGGAAAAATACTATAAACAGGGAGGCTGACGGTCCTGAGGTAATTGCAGCTGTGGCTGAAGCTGCTTTCAGACGTCCACTGAAATCTGGACAATTCCTGAACCTTTCATGAGGGACTGTATGTGAGAACGCACATTTTCCATAACTTGTCCATCCTGTTCCCCATTTAAAATGTCTGAGTGAACCAATGTGAGAGAAAACAGCAGGAAAATGTCCAGAAGATTCCCTGTAGGGTGAAGCAACACTGACACAATACAACTGATGCAAAATTTATAAATGCAAAAAGAAAAAAAAAAGATGTCAGGATGAAAATAGGTGTCACATAGAGGATGCTGTCGAAGATGGCAACTTGGAAAGACAACAAGATTCCAGAGCTTTTGGTGACAAGAATGGCTGATGGCGATGTCGCAAACAAAAACACATGCTCTCTGAATTAATACCTCCTCTCCCTCTCCTCACCTGAATGTTCTGGAAATGGTTTTGTTGTGATTGCCTCTGACAATCTCCTGCTGTATTGCACATGGTTTAAAGACAAAGTTCATGTCCGAAACAGCACAAGAGTGACCGCTCAGATAAAACCTCTCCCAGTCTCCCTGCTGTTCTTTTCCTACTAAATGTGATAAGTTTGTTATTATTCTTTTACAACAGTACTTTTTTGTTGGCTGTGAGCACAGTGCTTTGACCTTGGATATAAAGCCCTTGCAGCAGGTCCATGCTACATCAGCAAACCTAATAGCGTGATGGGAAAGTTTTCAAAATGTTTGCCAGTCAGATACATTTTTGCTTGTCCTTAAAAATAGCGTTAGAGTGTAGCTGAGGGATGGTGGCAGTGTTCTGAGGGTATCATGAGCACTTTGGTGACATAAAAAGGACGAGGCAGAAGCAGTGGGACACAGTTTTTGTATCACTCCAGTGCTGATTCAAACTGGCAGGCCGATCCCCCTCGTGATGTGTACATAATTAGCTAACCACCCGCAGTATACCTTAAATCTCCAGTAGCCGTCAATTCCCAAATGCGAGTGTGTTGGCATCGCACATTCGCTGTATGTGTTGATAGGTGACGATGCAAGCTTCTGTGAGGACTTGCTGACTGCTGACATATGTACCTTCAATTTGTGTGTGCACTGAGATGAGTAACTTTATGGTCTCTGTCCTCTGGACCAAAGAAGCAGCACCGGTGCAGCCTGTCCAATTATAAGATAGAAATACACAAAGCGTGATGCGGTTCTTCCCGGGTGTCTGTAAATGCTAGAAGTCTGCAGGGACAGCCACCAACCCAATAAGTACATGTCTCACCGATGTAGGATACAGCCAGCGACTACCTGTCAACCTCCACCCCCCGCCCTGAGGTTTCGCAGCTCCATTCTTCTCTGCCTGGCTGCTCATCCCTATCCTTTTTGGCCCACACGAGGATGGCCACTGAGCCCTGTCTATCTGCTCCTTGTTTGACCCGCTCCCAGGCGATGGAAATGTGACACAGAGGCTGCTCACCTGAGTGCCCCGCTTTCCATCTCTGTGGGCAAGGCGCTTTAACACGGTACACATACCTGGTGGGCCAAGAGGCTGTGATATTTACAAAGATCTCTGTCCAGCCCCTTTTCAGGTCACACTTCACACTTCTAGCTCTGCTTGTTAAATGTCCTCACATATACAGACGGTATAATGAGATGTAAATGAAATAGAGTGAACTTACAGGCAGCCCCGGGGCTCCAGGCTTACCCACATCACCCTGTGAAGAAGGATAATAAGTAGTGAAAACTCCAAAAACTTTTTTAATGTTTTTTTTAACATACTGTGTCTATGGAACAATAAATCACGTCTAAACATTTAAACATCCAGCCCAAAGGCTCATTGTGTGATTAAAAATGAAAACTGAACATCATTTAAAATAAGCGTGATTATGCATAGCTGTAATATTTCCACATTTGTTCTCTGTGCTGCACAAGACCATTAAGTGGTATTTACAGTATGTCGTGAAATGAGGCCTGTCTGATGACTCTCACAGCGTCAGACGACTGGCAGGTGGGCCGCTGCTATTAAATGTGACAGGCCTTAAAATAAACACAGCCGTGCTAGATCATGTAAAAGCTCTGGGGTATTACCAATGGACAGGTATGATAACATTGTTTGGTGACTGTGACATAAAGGCAGCCACAAAAAGTCATATAAGGAGAGAAGTAGAAGTCTTTTGACGCCAGTGTAAGCAATGATCTCACACGCTTTTAACTGCCTCGCTGATTTTTTTGTCTTTTCACATAAAACTCACACATCACTGTCTAATTTCCTCACCTTTACACCACAGCACATTGCAAAGCACCGGGTTGAGAATCGATGGACTTTACACCTGGCAGTACAGTTTTTTATCAGATGTAGATGAAAGAAGAAAAAAAATGTGCTTGTAGTTCATATCCATTTTCATGTCTAAATGAATGCCACAGCTAAAATATGCCTGCTATGGGATATTCAGGGGACTCATTACTTTGTGCTTCCAACTCTGCCTCCCTTTGTCAGTTTCAATACAAACAAACCTTCTCTCCACCCCCACCCTCCCATCCGGAAAATCGGATAAAATACGCTGTGATTCTCTGTTGTCTTCACAGAAACACAGACCTCATTATAACTTCAAGGCTGGCAGACGGAGCATTGCACCTACAATTATGCGGTGAGTTCTACCAAAAGACAACAACAACAACAACAACCAAAAAGTCCCAATATGGGAGGAAAAATAAAAGAGCAGGAGATATGGCAACTAATTACAGGAGAAAAAACATTTCATCTCATACGTGGAAAATAATCCCACTGTGGCATTAAAAGAAAAGTTTGAGGGAAGCGATATTTTCTGTATTGCAACAACACTTAATCTTATGTCAGAGAACAGATTATAAAAAAAAGATGCAGATAAGAAGAATGTTTTGCATCAAAACTCGTCTCTTGCCTCCAGCAGTTTAAATCTCAGGTGAACTCTCTCATATTCTTTTTCTCCCATGAATTTGTAATGTCTGTCAAGGTACAACAACGATATTTATTAATGTAAAATAAAATAATAAGAAAAACAACAACGATGAAATCTACAGTTTGTGACACATTTGTGAAACTGTTGGATTCATAATACATGAATACATCAATCAGCTCCAACCACAGAATACATATAAAGACAGACAACGTGTCTTAACCTCCTCCCACTATCCAGAAATGAAGCCAAAATATGTCAGATATGAATGCAGCCATTTGGAGCCAGAGTGTGTGCAGTAATGATCGGCGGATGGAGCCGAAGTAACGAGGTCCAATCAAACAATCTCAGTCTCAGGACATTTCACCCCGTTATAGCAACAACTAATAAGAGGCAAAACTACTGGGAAAAAAAACACGAACAGAGCGATGAGACATGAATGATAGAAACCATTTTTGAGAAAAACTAAATTTTGACTTCTGTTTGGTCCATGTCTCATGCACTAACATGGAGGAGGCAGGACTTATGACCATTATTGCAGCCAGCCAGCCACCAGGTGGCATCAGGACACTTTGGCTTCACTTTTGGTGAGTTTTCACTTTGTTCATCCTGATATACAGTCTATGGCTACAACATTAAAATCAGTTACCTTTTTTATCGCAGTTTTACACATACACACACACACACACACAAACACACACTTTGTATCAGTCAGGACAAAGTGTATGTGACCAGCAATGAGGGATTAATAAATCATGATAGAAATAACAATATTGTTTATCAGGCCATGTTTGGAGTAGCAGTCACAGCAGCACTTTGAACAGATGGGCACATATGTTACTGAGACGGGGATTACAGCTCATGCAAGTCAAGCAAATGATCTATTTTAATTAAGAAAAAAAATGACAGCTTCGTAACTTTGTCGAGCCCAGACTCACTCACTTTGTTTCCCTTGGGACCAACTGGACCGATTGGCCCCAGGTCACCTTTCAGACCCTGGGAACAAGAAAATATACAATACATTTTTAACGCTGTTGTTAAGAAATAATAACAACCCAGCACGTGTTACTGTATGTCAGTAAACACTCAGTACACGAGTATCTCATGCAGGTGTGAGATTCTCATGCCTGTCACAACCGCTCGATGAGAAAATAGCAGAAAATGTCCATCAGCCACTACATGATGTACAAAAACCCTGCCGAGAGGTTCACGATCAGCTGGCTGCAACGGGTTTACCCGCACACCCTTCCTCCGTTTCCCCCTCGATGCACTTAGGTTGAGCAAGGACAGCGGTTGTCATTGCTTTTACACCTTGCAGCACTGGACCTGGGGGGTGGGAGCTGAACTATGCATGCTCAGGGCAAAGTCAAGCCTCTCTGCGGTGAAATGTGAACGACGAAGGACAGCTGAGATAAAGAGTTCCAGCTGATGAATGAGGCTTGACACATATTGACAGGTTAAATTTGCAGCGAGCCTTGTTAGGTATGACACATTTGGGCCACTGGCAGCAACTCTTTGAAACAAGTTCGGGGGAGCGGGAACAAAGGGGTGGTGTGGGGCGATTGTAAAATGACTCAGAAATACAATCATTTGTCATGGTTAAATTTAGAGATGGAAAGGCTATTAATAGCGAATTATATATCTGCAGAAGATGATTACCTACCCTTATCACATTAAGTCTGGCTCCACCAGAGACATGACAAATTCATTGCCCATTCCCTGCAAGCTATGTGTTAAGCACCATTTCAAAAACACATGCCACAGCAACACTGGTGTGAAAGCGTCAGCCCTATGGAAACGCCACATAATAACGCTCGTCTATGTGTTGCACTTATAATGTCATGCTGGTGACATGATTATATCAGTTTGTATCACAAATGGACCCTCAGCCCACGCACATTGTCAATAATAAGGCGGCTGTCTCATGGCTGCACTCCAGAGCCCGGCTCTTTATTTAAATCGACAGCTTAACCACTTTACTGAGGCAATGTGACACAAGGGGATCCACAAGCAAATTTCCCCGTGAGTTACAAACCAGAGCAGCGGGTACGAGACTCATCTGATAACAAGGACGTAAACAACTTCAGGTTCTGTCAACTCTGCAAGCGTGTTTGATTAATCTTGCAGGAATCTTGCCACCACTTTTGTAATGAGGAGATCTTGTCTCATTACGATTGGGAGAAGGGTCTTGTAATATAAACTTCTTCCCTTGTTGTTGTGACTCTTCAGTCATAATGTGAATTTTTCTGTCGGAATTTTGAGGAAGGGACTGCACGAGTTTCCAGTCATTAACACACAAAATCTATTCCTGCACAGTCATAGGGCTGTTTGAGAGACAGTAAATTATCTCACTGTACATATATCAGACAGACAGATTCCTGAAATGAAATATATTGTCAGAGCAGCATTAAAGTTATTTACCTTCACATTATTTATTGTTGTTTTTATTTTATTTTCTCTATAGCATATGAATAGATTTTAGACTTTTGCATATTTATTTTTGCAATGAATTATAGTAACAGTGTCATTGAAACTGACAACCTTTGGATTCATTTTTTGGATGTTTCGGCAGAGAGTGCCCAACACTCTTGTAGGGAAACATAGGATATGAATGCAATTCTAACCAATTATTGTAGAATCAATCAATAACGTTCATGAAGGACAGCGGCATAAACAAATGAAACTCCAGCCTGACACATGACAGAGTAGACAGAGGAAATGCCGGCCTGACAAGTGGCACAGCAGACATGTACAAATACATATTGACATGTTTTGACTTCTTTGACATCATGCATTCTGTGTTATTCAAATACTAATACTTCCACTTGAGGTACACGTTTGAATGAATTATACTGATTTGCAGAAAGGATGTACATCCTTAACATAACATAACATAGTCTGCCAAGAATTGTCATATTTAACTACTAAATACTGTTATCATCTAGGCTTGTGTTATAAGTCATAAATATTCAATGTTATATAATTTACATCACTGTTCAAAATGAACTCCACTCCTCCAGCTCCTGCAGACACAAGACAATATGTTTACACAAGTGCTGACAGGGAGCTCCCATAATTCAACTTGTATAATGCGACTGGAAGAGACGAGTTTAAGGTGGTGAGTGATTTTTAAACCAGTTTTGGCTCAAATGACGACCTACAGCTGTCACTGTACACCATTAGTACACAAATTCATTCTGAGTTTAAATTGTTTGCTATATATTCAGTTTTACTCAATATATTCTGTTTACCAGGAGCAACAGCTGGGCTGATATTGTTTTCATCAAAACATGGGCCTGGAGACACGTACTGTGGTAATGATGACTACTGAGAACTTATGGTTCAGAACATCTACATGTGGTCAAACATCATGGCCTGCTCTCCGGTTGTACTTTAACATGTCATATCATAAACAGTATTTTTGAACTATGCCATTGATAATAATGACATACTACTCATCTTTAGAAGAATATTTAAACATGTTTTCACAAATACTTATAGATGCAAATTTATGTTTTGGCAAATGGGATATAAAAAATATTTTTTTATTATAAACCGAGGAATGTATCAATCTTCAAGCAAAAAATAAAGGATTGTTTAAAAACCTAAAAGGCTGAATAAACAGAAGCAATGCATGAGATGTTGATATACTACTCTGTTTTAAATATTCTCAGCTGACCAACAATTATGATGTATGCTAATATTTGTCATGACGGTCCTATCTCTAAGGTAGGAAACATCTAATGACCCCTTAAGGGAAAAGGGATTTTCTTTTCTCCGTTCCCTAGTTAAGATGCTGCCCCTCTGTCTTATGGACTCCACCATAAGCCCACAAGCCCAATTCAGGAGCACAGTCACACAGAGGGAGATAGAGACTGGAGGAGCTGGGTGTATTGTTTGCTTTTGTTGCAAGCTGTGGGCTTTGTTGCATTCACGGCATAAGGATGAATGAGGGAGAAGGGGCTGGGAATAGGCTGGTGCTGGCTGTGTGGCTGTCGTTCCTGCAGCACGAGGTCAGAACACTGTGGGGAGCTGTGTACACTCGCCTGCTAATTACACACACCACTGTGTCTTGTCATTCCTGTAGCGGTGGGGCCACAAGACAATCTGGCAGCTCCCCAGCCCAAGACGACTAAAGCAAGCAAATAAACAGAGCAAGGGAAGCAGGGATGTACAAATGCGGCCTAATTATGTTTCCTTATACCTTTTACCAAGCAGAGCAGCTGCAGGTCGGTGCCCTTGTCTGACAAGGAGGTAGAATTATTGCAAGTTTTAGTTACTGTACACAATTTAATCACTGCTATCTAGGTTTGGCCTATTAGGGAGGGGGGAGGGGGTGCTACATTAAAATAGTAGATGTGCTAAGTATTCAGAACATTCAAGCGGAGAAGTGTTGTTATACTGAATGACAGGCCTTTAAAGCTCCGTGGAACAGGATCTCTAAGTAACATGGATATCTTGAGTGTCGGCCTACAAATGCCAGGGAGGTTACGGCAGGAAATGCCTTTTGTGACTTTCCATTTGCTCAGCGATACGCCCCCTTGTACAGTGTGGTATAAGTCTAATCAGGGAGTGCTGGAGAAAAGTAGCTTGTTGGCATGTCTATCACCCTCTTTGAATAAATATACAAGGGAATCCAAACAATGGGCTCTGGTGTGAGGATATCAGAGTTCACTGTCGGAGATCCTCCGGTGTGGAGGATATCGCGTTCCACCAGTGTTGGTCGACTCCTTTTTCTACGACGCTTCACTCTTCAGTCGAACATCATGTAGCCACAAATGTAACTTGGATTACCCCCACAAGATAACATGCAGTGCACCCCCCCTGTCCCATAGGAAGCATATCTGCAAAATGACACTAGATCACATGCTCATACATAGAATTCTGGCTTCTCCGGTGTCTACTCCAGCCTTAAATAACATTCGAGCTTTAAAAATGGAATATGAGCTAATTGCAGAGAAGGGACAGATCGGGTAATAGAGTCTCGTAGTCGCAGTTGATAGGTTAAGTCAAATTATCAGGCAAGTTTATGTGCACAGCATGTAAGTCTTTCATTTGTTTCCAATTAAATAATTGATGCTAATCCTCACACTGTGTCTTGACCTGGCTCCTCCTTACTCTATAATCACCCTTTAAATAAACACAAGGAACTGTGTATTGGTGTTAAAATTATATTTTTTGATGAGAGCGTTAAAAGACAGAGCAATATTAAATTCATTTAGATAGCTTATAAGCACATGTACATCGCAGAGAGGATCCCATCATAGTTTAATTTCTTGGCTAGGGGACCTTGATTTTTTTTGGTTTCAGAATTTAAGTGTGTGTACAAAGAAAATGTAATGCATAAAAAAAAAGTAGAACTGTGATAGTTGGATGGAATTTATGTTGGAAATATTAACAAATACACTTTATTTCAAAAAGAAAACTTTGTCTATTTAATGTCTTGACTTGAAACTGCTAAAATATTTTTTTGTTTCCCATCGAGGGACAAACAGATAATATCATTCTAATTGTTTTGACAGAGGTCTAACATTTTAGGAAGCACAGTTGCTTTTCGTCTTACTCAGTGTCACATGAAAACGTATCAGTGTCATTCCTCTTCCATTACAAACACAGATCAGGACATGTTAAACCTCAGTCCTACGGCTCTATTTTTAAATAGAGTAGTAGATCAGTAACGAGTTTGTTAGCTGACAAGCTACAGTATCTTTTTCATTGTTAATTTAGCTAGACTGGCTGTTATGGTGCTAAGCTAGGCTATGGGAGTTCCAGACCTGGTGATAACTGAATGTCACAGATTATTACATAATGTCCTCTCTGTGATGATGACAAGCCTGCTAGAAGTGTTGCTTCAGAAATGTTTCTGATTTCTCAACCTTTTCTTGTTTCTTTGGGGCACAGCGTAATAAGTCTCTGGAGGAGATCTATCAGAGTCATGTACGGGAGTGTGCACCATGTGGGAAGCACACAGATAAAAAATAAGACACCTCTCATGCCATCGCCCTGAGAAAACATGGTCTCAGACCAGATTGGAGTGCAGGTCACACAGAGTTGGAGATGAGGTTTTGATCTCCCGTTAGGTTTGATGGAGCCAATGGATATGACTGGTCAAAGCATCTTGATAAAAACAATATTTCTGATGATTGACAGCATATTGATGCATGGACCTGACCAGGATGTCCAGGATGTACCCCATGCACCTCTCACCCAAAGTCAGCTGGGATGGACTCAAGCCCCCCTGCGACCCTTTAAGGATAGGCAGTGTGATTAGATGGATGGATGTTTAACATCAGTGGGGATATCATGCCTCAAAACCAACAACTCTAGAAAATAATCAAGACCACAAACACAATCTTATACTAACCACACTAAGTATTTACCAGCAAATGCACTAATACAGTATGTTGCCAATACTGATTGGTACTGTGATCTGAAGATCATATTGTCCATACCCCTAATAGATCCTTACATTCAAAGATGGCTGTACTCAATGCACTAACTTGTTCCTTATCAATTGACCTGAACTGGTGATTCTAGCAGTTTTAAGCAGCTTGTGCTCTCGGTAAAAGTTTAGAAACACAGTGTCAAGCTCTCTATACTGAACAAGCGTCCAGCGGATTCCACTATATGTGCCACTGATGTCCAAAACACTGGAGCTCAGGGTGAACCAGTGAGTGAAGAAATAACGACCACTTTTCACTCCTTTCTCCTGATTGTTTCAGCAACAGTTCCATTCGGCAAATAAAAGCACACAATCTGAGCCACAGAATCACGTATATTCATGGTTCTTCCTCCAGTGGATGGAATTCATTTCCAGTTAGGTTGTCTCATTCTCTTCAAGATTTCTATGCCGATAAACTTGATCATGTCCTTCATATGCAAACGTATATATATGACATCAACTGGCTTTTTCAGTTGCCAATAGCAACTTACCAGGGAACAAAGACAGCCATGCCGGTTGACAAATTAATGATTTGAGTTTATAACCTTCAAATTTAATTAACTATGTTTTTTCTCTTTTTTCCTTCATAACAAACTTAACTTGGATTACTGAATGTTTAATGTGATCTAGGATTTCTTACATGAAATCCAGTTTTTAATAAAGAGCCAGTACGTAAACTATGAAATGAGAATATCCCTCCATGTTAATCTGCTTTCTTTAGCTCTCCCTTGAAATGTATGGGAAAAGTACACTACATTTGATTCTAAAATACCATTTATATGACATAAGCATTTCTCGTCACACCCCAGAATACATATATTTCTGGGAATCATTTTCAACCTTGAGTGCAAGTGAACATTCATGCCAAATTTGGAGAAATCTGCTCCAGGTATTTCTGACATAACGCGTAATGGGACGGACGGACGGAACAATGTACAATCAGAAAACATAATGTCAAAGCTGTCGTCAGTGCAGAGGCATAAAAAAAGAATTACATTAGCAAACAACAGTGGATACCAGCAGTCGGATGGAAAACACAACATGTAATCCCTGTTTGAGGGATCAAATTAATTATTTGAGCTTTGCAGGCAACTGTACACATACCATTATGATTTAAAGGTTTTGTTATCCGCCTCTGGTTCCTTTTATAAACTAGACAGTGCTCAATAAAAGACTGACTGTATTTCTAATAAATAATTCATTCTACTTTATTGTGACACCTATTCAAAGTCTTCCAGTAGCTTTGAATCACCAGATCATATAATGTCCAAATCACAGGACACCTGTCAGCTACTTGTTCTAGATCATTTTTTATAAAACCAAGCCCTTAACTGACCAGTATCGGTCAATAGCCTTTTGGTTTGATTTATTCATATTTGCTCCTGGTTTTCTGCTGTTTGGGCAGAGTGCAGGTCCACAGCCTGCAGGGAGGCGGCTTTCTGTGGCAGCTGTTTGTCTACTCAAGGGGGAGATGGCGATGAAAAGGAGTCCCTTTATTGAACCTCTTTAAACTGACCATCTGCACAGCCATCAACTGAGATTGTGCCATTGTGGGCAAACAAATGCTGTACAACATAAAACGTCCTTTTTATTCAGCTAATACTTTTAAGGAATGTGCACAATTGCTTGTGGTTAAAACAACACCCCAGAAGAATCTTAATTAAGTTCTAACCAGAGTTCCCACACTCATCTAAAACATCCAATTCAAGGTCTCTTCAGGGACTCTCAAGGCCCAATCCCCTAAAAATTCTTGCCCATATTTTGAGATATCCATCAAGGTTAATTAAGAAGTTTTGGCTGCACTGCAACAGCGGTGCCAGCCCTATAAACGTGAATGTCGCTGACTGACCTGAGTGTGAACATTTCTCATTGTGTTACAAGGGAAACAGACTTGGTGGTCCCTCGCTGTCTCTGACACAGCTTGTAAGTGTAAGTTGAGCGCTAGAGAGATTTAAGAGCTGGCAAGAGACATACAGGCGCCTTTTTACCGATGTTAAGTCTTAAAAATGTCAAATGATCATCAATTTTAATGTTTGCGCAAAATATATAAATTATTTCAATGTTTTTTTTGTTTCAAATTCACAAACTTTGAATGATTCAGACAAAGAGAAAAACTGATCATATCATTTGCTGGTGCTTCTTGTTGTGGGTTACTGTAGATTGCATTTATTAGTTTCATCACTGCAGCCGATTTAAAAGCATGCAATAAAGTTTAACCTGAAGAAGGGACTTACAGTAATTTTAAAAATGAGTTTAGTCCATTAGTATGCCAGTTCTATGGTAGCATACATTTCAATTAATTTCACTGCAGAAGGACACCGCGGCCTAGAACACACTTAGATCTACTTCAGATATGACAGGCACCTGAAAACAGCCAAACAGAAAAAAAAATCTGCTTCACTCCTACCCCTAGGGCATCGCACAGAAAATGAAAAGCCTATAAGAATTGATTCCCTGACGAAACTAGATCTGGCTGATGTGCCATGTATGGAATATATGTCTGCTGGAGAGAGTAGTACTTACCTTCTCCCCATCGATTCCCTTTTGCCCTTCTGATCCAGGTTCTCCCTGCAATGACAAGATTGAAAGTTAAAAAGCAAAGTGAGGACCCTTGAGAAGTTCACACTTCCCTCTTTAGCAACCCGTGGCGTTTAGCAATTTGGAACATTTCTTTAACTCCACCTTCCTGTTAAGCATTTTTAGAATCACAAAGGCAATGTATAAATTCCAAGGTAAGATTCAGGAAGATTGTGTATGCCACCTGTTTTTCATCCATATTTGTATTCATCCCATTTTATGTCAATCCTGAATCATCATCAACAGGTTTACTCACTTGCTGTACTTTTCTGTTAATATTCCTGGCCTATTCTCACATGAGCTCACGAGAACATTTTTCCCATACATTTCACAAGGGGGCTAAAAGAAACGGAAAAAATGTCCAGAGCATCTGACGCACACGTTTGCTTTCCCACATAAAGTCACTCTGGAAAATGTTCAGTGCATGTCTGAAAGCAGCTGTAAATGATTAGATATGAATTAAAGAAGATAAAAACTCTGCATAACGCTATTATATAAACTCACTTAAAACATAAAGGAATTACAGTATTTTAAGAAAAACAATGTATCCTTAAAAAAATGCTTATTTAAGACCAAAGGGACTCACTGAAAAATTGTGGTAGCAATTGTCAACACTAACACAAATACTAAGATAGAACCAGAGCAACCATGTGACCCACATACAGCAGTCAAAAAACAGAATTCTTCTAAATGCAGCTCCAGTAACTATGTGAGTAAAAATGTGCTACAGAGCGTGACAGAGAACTTTTTGTCCTGACATCATTGGTACAATTAAGTTCATTCCTGAACTCTACAACTCACAGCTCCTTCAAATAGAGCTATGAACAAAGAGCAACACATTTGCACTGCAGGGATACAGAAACAAAAACCATAATTCAGAATCAGATATAAATTCACTGCCATATTGTTTGCTTTGTGAGCTCGCTGCATCATTTCAGCTTCACCTTCAGTCAATAGCATGCGTAAGATTATATGTAGTCAGGGAATATGCTGTTTGGGGCTTATTTCCACAAATATAACCTCTTAAAGGCTTATTTCTACAAATATCTTCCCGATCACTGATTCTTCTCAAGCTACCCAGCCCCTCACTTTCCACATGCTCTGCCAGAAATGTGCGAGAGGTCTTGGAACTTGTTGGCTCCGTTATTGAGAGTGTAACCTATACAGTTTCATGACCTCAGCTGGCCCGTAAAACTCAAGCAAACTACCGTAGTAAAGTGTCCAAGGTCGATCATATCGTAACTGCTGTAATATCGACAGCTGCATCAGGCTACCAAAGGAGCCTGAAAAAGCGGGTGTCTTAGGTTTGTTCAAAGGCACGGTTTCAGCTGGAGGGACCTAGTTCAATTTGTACTGAACATGTCTTCATATGTCTATAGCTTTAAAAAAAAATCTATGAAAAATTCTATGAAAACACATTCATATTCAATACACAACAAAACATGTGTCGACTCGCACAATAAACAGGTTTCATGAAACAGCTGAAAAATATATAAACAGCTTTATTGACAAGGCAGTGAGCGCAGGTATGAAATACTATAAAGCATGTTGCTGGGAATTAGCATCATATCAATAACGCTGCTCCTGCTCCTGATGCACACTTTTCTTGTGCACTGTTGTGTAACGAAAGAGCTTTAGCTGCCTCCTGAACCTCATCTCGGAGAGCACCAGTGGTTAGAGCGGTGCCATTAAGCGTAATTCCCTATTCCATGTATCAAGGGTCATGAGCAAATATGTCAACATCTCCAGTGGGTTCTGGATTAAGCCTTCGAGGAATGGTCTTATATATGACATGAATACAGGCAATAAGCTACAGGCCAATGTATCACTCAAATATGCCATTAAAAATGTATGCTAAATGTATTTTCTTCATTTTTTCCAATAATAGACTCATAATCCTCCACTCTGTCTTTCATTAAAACACTATGGGACATTCTCACTTTAAGACAGGGAAGCTACACCCACATACTGGCATTACACCAAGTGGCTGAACCTTGTGACTGGACCTGCCCTCCCTCGCTAAAAGAGATCAACACGTCCAAGAGGCTACGTTTGATGGTCAACAATCTTACTGATGAAAATATCATACAACACAGCATGAAAGCAGCAAAGTTGTTATTCCAGTAAAGCATGGGAAATTTGGCAATTTCCTCAGCTCTTCAGGGGTGTGACAGCAACAATAAATTACACAAAATGTTTCCGTTCAAGAAATATGCATTTTTCTCACAATTGAAGTCTCTGACTCTGTGACAATGTTCCACTTTTCACTCCTCACCTCCACCGTGTTTCTTAGGAGACAGTTACATGTTGCCTGAAATACGCATTGAGTTATGCAAGTCATTTGTTTTTCCCCCAACAGCAAAGGGGGCATAACTGAGACACTTAGGTTCACACTACGATCCCAACCCCCCCCCTCGACTCAGACGGCCAGACCATCTCGTAGAAGATGCTATTACAGCGACGAGGACATGATCCATTTCTGGCTTCCTACCCAGGACGACTGCCAAGTGTGTCCAATGGGGCCCCGGGCCAAGCCAGAAGCCGCCATCTCTTGGGAATAAACTTGGGTCCCTGCAGCAGCGCAACCCTCCCCTGAGCAGAGCAGGCACCCATTTGTTGGTTTAATTTGATTTTGACATTGCTTTGCTGTCTGTGGTGGTTTGAGGGGGTCAACACAAGGCGAGCCAATGATTTAATCCAGTGATGTTAGAAAATCATCTCAGAGAGGGCACTGACAGACTCCATAAATCACTAAATGAAAAAAAAAAAAAAGAGCTGCCTGCTATTCACTGGATCTGAAAAACAGGCAATAAACCAAAAAATGATTTTGAGACTCAAACAAACTTTATCAAAAGGAAAAATACACCATTAAAAGTTGTTAAACCCTCCGTCCAAAAGAAACAAAGCTTCCAGCCAGATATTGAAAAACTGATATTGAGGAATGATTGAGGAAAAGCTGATATTGTGTGTGTTTCAAATTTTGATAATGTCCCCTTCTATAGCTCTTCAGATCTATGTGTGTTTCTTATACGAGGTGATGAGGCATAGTTTTAACATCATTTGTTTCCTATACCCATTTGCTCTGAACCCTGTGGCCGGCATAGAGCAAACCAAGGGTGGTGGAGGACCATGCACTGAACCCCACCACTCTCACCTTTCTTAGTGAGTCTCCTACCTTATGTCCTAGGTTTCCTGTTGGCCCAGCTTCCCCCAGGTCCCCCTGTGACACAAACAACACACAGTACAATTAGCAAAATGTCTGTCCGTCACACATTAGTGGACAGGTCTCATGAAGACTTGTCATTTCAACAGTGACCACGCTCCCACAGACAGCTGTTCCATAAGTTCCTGCTGACACGGGGGCTCAGCAGCTGCAGGTCAGGATACTGTTTCCCAAACAACTGGAAAGCATGAATCTGAACCTTGTTAGGGGTCATTGTATGGATTTGAAAATTGTATTCAAAAAGAGAGAGGACCAGGAAAGAAAGGAAGACAAGCTTGCTGCGGTTGCAGTGGAAAAGAAAAGGAAAAGAAAATGTGTTAAGATGGAGATAGGTAGTTATTCAGCACATTAAGCAAACACAGAAGTTACCGCAAACCAAGAATCTAATTAAAAGATGCACATCTATGGTTACATCTCCATTACAAGCATGGTTTGTTAGAACTCAATAGGTTTGATGGCTGAAACACCATCTCTGTGCTGTGGCTTATTAACCAATTATTCTGAACAGCAAGTCCACTCTATATTTTATAAGTGGTTGGCATCCAATCCATAAAAAATACAATATGAAGCATGTGGCATGGAAGTATTAGATTCCATGGACTTAAATATATATGGGAATTGGAGGTATATTTCGCAGTCCTCTCCATTCAGTCTTTAATTTTCCTATTCAATCACAAACACAAGTCCCCGTTAATGAAAAGCTAATAACATTTTAACACTCTGCGGATACAATTGGAGCAACAGCAGGTTTTGAAAGCTAATCAAAATTTAGTGTCAGTCCAATAAAAACCAACGCTAAATAAAATTCCTGGTATAATTCACTTTGGAGGTACAAGGGGTATAAATTGAATTAGAGGTTCCTAATTGAAAACACAAGCCATGAGGGCAGGAGGGCTGCGAATGCTGCAAAAAATAAATTAAGGGTTTGTAAAAGTGGAAGAAGTTTTTAATTTCACCATTATGCCAGTTTTTTCTTTCCTTTTGCATGTACATATAGGAGCTGTAAATCTAGTAATACCAGGGTTTATGTGCGAGGCCATATAAAATGGATTTCCTTTCAAGTAAGCTGCATTCTTATAACCCACTACTTATCTGTTTAATTTCCTGAGGGATTCCGGATTAATCATAGAAGTTTAATCCCTTTGCAGTGCGTTAGAATTCTCCATCAAACCTGGACTGTAATGGAGGATATATTACTTTCAGTTGTAATATAATGTAATGCAGCCAAAGTAATCCCCACACACTTTCCCAAGGAGTGCTGTGTGTAGGTCACAATAATTGGCCTGCAGTTCTCATTAAGGGTGTTTTAATGCTTTAATTTGCCCAGATGTCTTTGATTAATCTCTACAAAGTCAAGTCAAATTGTTAATAAGCCTACTCTGTCTATTTCTTTAATTTCATACAAAAGGAGATGCATGTCAGGAGCCTCATGAGCTTAATTTATTTACAGTATCTGCTATGACGCTGTTAGCCCCTGTTTAATGTGTCGCATTGGAGATATAAATGGTGCAGCCCTTTTTAATCTGGATGTCCCCTGGAAATCTAGCAATCAATATGAATTAAATGTTCTTTAACAGAGGTGCACTGCCACCGGAATCCACCGGGCAGATTCATGTGCAACAAGGTCAGTGCAAAGAAAAGAAATCATTCAGCACATCATTCTGTCAAGGCATGTTTTCTGATATACTGCACAGCCGGCTCAAGCAAACCACTTTTCTGCTGTTTTCCTCTCAGTGAACATCTGCAAAAGCAGCAAGACATGAAAACTTTTCGACTCGATGATTAGTGACATTTTGATGTCTTCAGGTATCCGCTGCTCTCGCTCAGGGGGAGGATTTTGTTCCAGTTGTTCACTTTGCAGACATTTTAGCCCGTTTCAGAGGATGGTATCCAGCATGTCCTGCTTGACGTCCTATAATTTGCAGCTCTGCCTGCATTATTAAATCAGAGTCTATCTTTACCCCCCTGCCAGTTTAAAACAACATGAATCATTCCTACTTATTCATTGATAAAATGATGTCTCACCAAAACTGTTGAGTCAAGCACAGCAAGTGTGGCTTTCGTTGACTCATTCAAATTCTAAATTGGGTGAATTTAATTATCGATTCAATGTACCACTGTCTAATTGCTGGAGTGGCACATAAACTGCTGTGCGAGGAAAAGTATTGATCTCATTCATCATTTAAACGAAAATTTCCCTGCCTGAGATTTCTTAGGTCAAGATTATATTTTTTAGTCTTTTCCAACACTAAAAATAGGCTGCAGCAACAAACTCTACTTTCATATAATTTCACTATCGCTTTGGAGAAGTCGTCATAATTTGGTATCGTGACAACACTGGTGCTTTGCACTCTCAACAATCTGTGCAATGATCTATGGATAGTATTAGAGGATAAAGAGAAAAACAAGAGGATTAGGATGAAAGGAGGTTTAAATTAAGATGATGATGGTAAAGATGAAGATGACCCGATGATGGAGGACCACATGGGGTGGAACGAGTGAGATATTAACTCACTAAAAACAAAACTAAAAAACATAAACATCAAGAACAGAATATAGGATTATGTAATTCTCAATGACATCATTTTAACTTTTAGCAAGCAAAGTGAATCATGTGTATGAGCTCAATTCTCCTCTGACTGGAGACTGAATGAACAGGTAGTTGAGCAAAGATGCAAATCACCTGTTAAACTGAAGAGTTTTCAGTTTTACATCAAGGTTGAAGTTCAGGACTGGAATACTGTCTGGAGGTAAAAGTTGCCTGATTTGAAGTTTTTAAAATCTTGATATAATATATGTATAATCGCTCCATGCTGTAGCCATCTGTTCACCTGCAGCATATCTCTGTCATCAGCTGTGGGAAGCAACACAACTTTTTAACTATGTCAATGTTCTTTTTGATGAATTTCTAAATTTCCAGTGGGCACAGGAAAAAATATCAGTGATAGAGAAATCCCAACTATAACAACACACATTGTCCCAGTCAGTAAAGTGTGATAATGCACTCACCTGCAGAGTCACTACCACTGAGACAAGCACGTCTCTGATGTGTCAAGTCAAAAATCAGTTAAAAAAAACGTCCTCTCACTCTCTGACTCTACCTCCTTCTCTTTCCTCCACTCGCTCTGATGTCACTCAGACAGCAGCAGCAGATATAAGTGTGATCCCTGCAGGATAAATAGTGAGATAAGAGCAGCCCTTTGCTTTGCTCACGCTCACACTGCTCACACTCTATTGGCTCGCTCCCCGGCAGTGGGTGGGACGGCATGTTTCTGTGTGTGTGTGGAGGTTAATGAAGTCAATTCTTTACTGGATCTCAGCGTCTTGTTGCCCCGCGCTGCAGGCCTGAGGGGGGGGACGGCCTGTGATCGTGTTTACAGAGTGAAAAATGAGCACAAACCCAGCATGTTCAGCATGTTATACTCTTTAAATACATCCTGTTGACAGAGTGCGTTACAAGGCAAACAGCAGATAAGACATGCCTGGGGTGCAACTAGTGAAGACAATTCTCTGTGTGAAGTGGACGGGAAATGACCCAAATCTCATATCGTGAAGAATACGCCATCAGAATGGACTTAAACGGAAAGTTCTCCCAAAAGTGAAAATTCCATCAGTATCTGCTCACCACTATGCAGATGGAGGGGTGGGTGAAGCGTTTGAGTCCACAAAACACTTTTGGAGTTTCTGGGGTAAAATTCAATACAATTGAAGTAAATGATGACCAATTCTTCAATATAAAAAAAACAGCAGAAAAAAACATAAAGTTCCTCAAAACTGCTCCTGTGGTGTCATCCAAGTGTCCATGAGCCCCGATATGCAAATTTGACTTGACAGAAAAAAGGCATGAATGGAAAATTTAAATTCAACAATGTGAAAATCAGAAATCAGTTGAAAAGCAGCGTAATAGAAAAAACGTGACTCTCAGTAAATATGATGAATATGCCTGAAGACTAGTTTAGTCTGTGAAGATTACTCAGAGCAAACTCAGGGATTTTAGTCTCTGCTGAAGGGTCGAGGTGTTGGGGTCGTGTTTGTGTGTGTGAGTGAATCTTTAACACAAAACCTTCAAAAGTGAACTGACTGCACTGAATCATTATTATCATCGAGCGACTCGGGAGCTTTTATTGGTGGAGCTCCTTCGACTGGCGACTGATAGCACCATTATCAGCCCAGGTGTGATTACTCTGGTTAAAACCTTACTGAACGACAATGAGAGCTGCACGAGGATGATGACGGCTCAGACCTCAGAGAAAAGTTTGTGTGTCATTTGGTGCGGCTTGATATATATAAAACTTAAGGTTCAGACAAGAATAAAGTGTCTGAAATGTTATTTATAAAATTATAAATGAGATGTGTTAAGTGACAGTCTCAGAGTCTCGCAGAATCTGTGTGTGTGTGTGTGTGTGTGTGTGTGTGTGTGTGTGTGNACACACACACACACACACACACACAGACACATTACAGCTCAAAGGTTGATTCCTGTCAGGTCAATTAAGAATCATTAGAGGCCAATTATGACACATTTACCAAACTCATTTGTACAATCCGTTGCTTCACTCACAGTTTTGAATATAATAATGATAATTATACCCATCTATGACTAACACTATGGCTGTCATATAACCACATAAATGAATGAAATAGAAGAGAATGAATAAATATGAAGCTTAAAAGTTTTAAAACATCTGAGGACTAAATGAGGCCAGATGCACAGAACAGAGCCAAACTTCAGTCTCCACAATATTGGTCCACCTCTTCACAGCATTAAACATGATAACTCTTAAACAGTAGGAACAACAATGTATTTTTGCGACTTCCAGGAATGAGCGCTTTCATCGGAGCCGTCTTTATCACTGACCCCAGGAGCCGTTTGGTTTTATCCCACATTCAGGAACCACCACCTGTTCATCTCTATGAATTCCATTCATAGTGAAACATGTTCTCCCCTGGTTCTGTTTTTAACCTTGTACAGTTAAAAGGGGGGGTTGGTACTCCATACAGTTCTATTCAGGGTGTTCATGATATGTTTATGTTTTTGTTGTCTCCCAACCAACACCCATCATTTTCAGCGACAGGCCCTTTACTTTTTATTCCGCCTGTCTCCTGAGCTGTCATGTAGAAAATGATCCTTCAATTTTTTTTAACTACACCTGTTTTTCTAGTGACTGAGCAAACGTGTGCTCCCCCAGTTCATGCATTCTCGGGAGATTCACCTCATGAGGATAATTGTACGGTGGCTTCTCTGAAGGACCTTGAACGCAGAACATGTAACTTTGTCAGAGGGAGAGAAAGAGAGAGAGAGAGAGACGTATATATCTTCCTCTGACAATGAGTTTATGACAAAGTGTAAATTTGTCCCACTGGGATTTCTTGGCATTTAGACCTTGTAACTGTCCTCTAAAAGCGTCCCTACTGTCCACAGAGACAACCCACTGCAGCAGTTATTTACAATATGGCAGCAAAATGATAATACTCTGTATGATTAAATTAATTTTCAACATCATGTTTGACTTTGTTGATTCTGGATTATTGAATGTAATGCTACCCACCTTCGACCGCAGTCAAAATATTGCATCTATAACATTCACTTAGCATGTTAATAAATATGTGTATGAAAAATTGGTTTATACCTTGTCTCCTTTATCCCCCTTATCACCTGGGAGTCCAACTACCCCTGGAAGACCAGCATCTCCCTGTACACACAGTAAACATTAGTGGGATTCAAACATTTCTGATGCATTTGTTTCATTTTTATCTTTAATCAAGTAGAATAATATATTCATCAGTGAAGCAAAACAAACAAGGTTAAACTACCTTAGAAATAAGTTATTTAGAGTCAAAGCACCTCTTTAAAGTGTTAAATCTGTATTATTTCAATCTGAAATCTATTTCCACTGATAGAAATGATGTGTATCTGTGGAGTAGTGAAATATTTATTTAATCTACAAACCAAAAATGTTAATTGGTCCATGAAAAGCTGAGTAACATAAACAAAACTCCACAGAGGACTCGAAATATGCAGAACATTTGTGGATTTGCAGTTTAAAGAATCCTTTTCCCTTTTAACATAGCAGAGTGCACATTCTACACATTAGGACAGGATTTTGAGAATTGTGCCACTTTCCTAAAAGATTTCATCTAAAGTAGCCTTGGAAAACACTTTTTGGTAAAAATGTCCTCTGAACGGCTGTTAAGTGCCAGTAATGGCACATGAAAATCAGTGCTCTTTCAGTTACAATAGACACTACATTTACTCAATTAGAGGCCCTTGTTGTGTGGAATTGATTGTACCTTTTCTGCCGGACAGTGACATCTGTCAATTGACTGCAGGACCGGCTGAGAAAGCATCTGGGGAAGCTGCTCTGTAACCAGGGGAGGGGAAGTGCCATTTAACGTCTGCTTGGCTTCACACTGGATCAATACAGAAATTGCACTGTTAAGATGCCATCCACTGTCACATAATGCAGCACACTTTACCTCAGGAAACCTGGTTTTTTAGCAGCGTAAATTTAAAATACATCATGCTGCAAATAACAAAAAAACATATAGAAAGAAACATAGAATGTACTGAGCAGCCGGCGGTACTTTCAATCTTAGAGCCAGTGATCCCTTTTCAAGGATGTGTTAAATGTCTTGAAGTAACTTTACACTGAAATGACAGCATGCTTATAATGACATATCATGCTTAAGGGTCAAAGGTCATCTCTCCATTTGGAATCGCTGTTCCATTAGCCCTTATTGATTACAAGGTGATGGAAGATCTGTGTTATTTGGTTTCTATCAGGGGACACATGCCCTCATGGACAAAACGACAGAAACCTTGTTACACTTTCACTGTCTGATCACACGTTCTCGGTTAAAGTTCACTCTGTTACTGATATAATACTTGAATCAGAGACGCACTGAATCACCAAATTACATTACAGGGTCCTGATTTTTGAAAGCAAACGTGATATATATCGTCTCATTAGTAATAAAATGCATTATGAATAATAACGGTCAGGAAAAAGGACATAAAACCTGAAAGTATTTCTTGTCATTCCATTGACTGTAAACTGCAGGTGTGAGTGCTGTGCAGAGATATTAAAACATTTTACCTTTGGTTCCAGCAGCTCACAGCAATTTTCCATCTCAGCCATATAGGGGTCACAGTAGATTAGAAATAGTCTCAGTTCAATCTGTGGAAAAAGAGCTCTCATTAAGAGACCAAGGCTCCATCATCACATTATACTCCTCTTTTGACCTATAAAGCCCTGATCTCTGGCTTTTCTTCGCCTGTGAAACACTTCATAAACATCACATCTAAACTATACAGCGGGGTCTTCATCTTCTATCTGAATCACTGCAGCTTCACACTTTCACAGTGTCATTTTTTCTGTTGCACTAACTTACATCGTTACAAATCATGTAGAGTCAGCTGTTAATGCTACTTAAGCCAAGTTCTGCTCAAGTATTGGGTGACTGAATGGCATAGCTGACCTAATGTTTTTTTAGCACTCGCAGGCCGCTCTGAGAATGAGTGTAACACATACTGTCTGTCACAATACAGGATTTACACTGATTAAGAAAACATGCCCTTGAAGCGTGTTTTAAATATTTCTCAAATGCGTTGGGAACGTAAACTACTACTACTCGAAAACTACTGGACCAAAAATAGGTAAAACCTTAAATAACACAAACAAAATATGTTTGGACAAAGTTAGCCCCTGACATACATCTACAGGCCGTCCATCCTCCACTCGTGTGGTGATTAGCGTTCGCCCACTGGGGTCAACGTCGTCCTTCTCATCGGTCAGTCTCCGTTCTACCAGCTTGCAGTCCATGTAAATGGAGACTTTGTCGCTCTGCACAGAAATGCTCAGCTTGTGCCACTGCCGATCAAAGAGGGCATGTAGGTCACGGCTCTTAAATGTGTAGCGGAGGTTGTTCTTCAGCTGACCCTGGAAGGAAAACTCCACCACCTTCTTGCCGCCGTCCACCACAACAGACACCTGTGGTGCAAAAGTGAAAAGAAACAGCCGTCCCTTCATATTGTAGAATATTTGTGGATACTGCAACTGTTGTTTGACATTAAAACGTAGCATGACGCCCACCTGACTGCCTCCAGATTGGTCAAAAATCTGCCAAAGATACCAACGGTCTTTTTTTGTCGTTCTTCTGACCCGGAAGGTGGTGACGAGGGAGTACTCACTTGAAAGTCCATTTTGAAATATTAATCTAAACAAACATAAAAAAACACAGTCACATTTTCACTAATAAACATTCTGAATCCTTATCATTCAAATAAATTCAAAGACAATGGTGTCAAGCCTCATTTCTCAATATTGAACGTAAACTCTTACAAAGCTTTCAGGGGCTCAACAATGAACCAGCCAATCAACTTCAGAGATCGATAAAACATTTCAATATCCTCCCGCTGAGGAGACATTCACATAAATAATCCTGACAAACTTGATTCCATTTAGCTTAATGAATTTTATACTGGCTCCCCCATGTCATTCAGATAATGAAAATGCATAGAAATTGATCCAAAGTCACAGGAGCCTAATCTTTTACCTCGCTGAGATACCATGTGCTACAGTTAAAGGGTTATAGACGTATAGTGCAATGTCGTCATGGCTTTATGTGTATGACCTCAGCTGCTCCATGGAGAAACATATGCAGAAGAAATAGGGCATTTAGAGGAAAAACAATATATATCTCAAATTTGAGTACAACCGATCTCAAATGAATTCCAGTTTATTCTCTAACTCATCCCTCAGCCAACACCGGCACCACCCCTTCTGTGTAATACACTAAAATGAAATAATATATTCTAACACTAACCCTTACTCCAGGCTCACAGTAACAGTCAAAAGTGGAGGAGCATAAACATAATAAATCAATATCAGCACAAATAATAATGCAACGATAAGGTCATTGAGGAGCCAGCGCACTGCTGGGGGGAAGTGGGAGGGTGAAAGAGTTTCTTCAGACAGGTTGGAAATTAGTTTTCACTCCAATATATCATCTCCTATTCTCTCAGAGCTTCACACCCTCTTCTCCTGTGTCCCTCGAATTCTTTGAGATTTTGCTGTAAATGGTACATGACTAAAATGATAAATACACCGAGTTAGAGCTCCCTCGAAAAAATCAAATGCTTCTGCGAGAGGCCGGGGACAGGGAAGGTTATTCGCTGCCCGAGGGCTAAAGGACTGTTTCCGCCGCATTTCGATATGAAAAGTGGCATGGCAATTATTAAAAATGAGGATTTGGAAAATAAATTCATGACAGAATATTACACAGTACTCTACAAGTACTCAGTAACTTTTGGTACCTAATGTATTACACATTATTATAAGAGGCAGATAAGAACATATAGAGAACAAAATGAGAAATGCAAAAACGTATGCAGCCACTGCAACTGGTGGAACTTAATATATTTACACACTGCAGGACTGTTTTCTGTTTGGGCTTCTGAGGTCCACACCCTTTAGAAGTCTGCTCTGATTTCAAAACACGGTCTGTCAGCAAACTTGATCTCCGAGAGCCCACAGGGTTAAAGTTCTTGACCTCGTGCTGATTGCCATCTGTGGCTAAATGGCTAAACCTCAAAGCTCAGTGATTGGTTGGTTTGATGGTTGTTTTTATCCAATTCTTGGGAGAAACATGACCATGTATGTTTACATAAGTGATAATGGGGGAATTAAAAGAAAGCACATTCATTCTTCTTGCTCATATCCCATCCACCAACTTCTACAATATACAGAGACTCTGCCAACCCTCCAGTTCCATTTGTATATAACTCATTTGCATTGGCAAACATGTTCTGGGAGCATACCCGTCTCCTGGATTAGGTTCAGCGTTGTATTCTATAGGGCTGGATTCTACAATGTGAAATAGCAAAAGCAAAACCAATGACAGCCACGGCAATGAGGAAGAGCGACATCTTCTCCAGTAACATTTCTTCGAGCCACCAGTTAACGGTGCATATGTGCTGTATCTTGGGATATACAGCACATCCATAGCAATAATCAGGAGAAGCCGAAAAAGTCCCAGAGCAGCACCATGACTGCCAGAAGAGTTATAATCAGTAAGAAGTAATTCTACTTTCATCGGGAGGGACCGTGTGCTGTCTGGAAACCATCACCAGTCTTGGAACGCGTCCTTAACCATGCATATTTGCTTGGCTGAAGCTGCTGCTTCTATAATCAGAGACAATGGTTTGACAGAATGTCACAGCAACACTACCGGTCTGCTCGAGAATCTCCCGGAAGCGGCTTTAGTGTCCTGGCCGCCTGCAGGAAATCCTATCCAAGAGGATTCGTTTAAATGAGTCAGAGGAATCAGATTGCCATGGCTGAAACAATCAAAGATCAAATGTGAGCCTAGTTGGCTCGCATCCCTATCACTGACACTCAATCCTCCACCGGATCAAAGTGGCCTCCACCATGTCAGTTTTTGAGCTAAATGCATCATTCATGCTAGCGAGGACTATAACTTCCTCTCAGCGTGACTCCCCTTTCCTGTTTTAACATGAATTTGCTGTATGCCAGCGTGATAGATGCCTGCCACTGATCGAGCCAAATCAAACCCACGCCTGTGATCTGCAGGAAAGAGACTTTATGCAAATGAGCGTAGCTGAGGTGTGTTAGACTGCTGCTGATCTTTCCAGTGTAAATATGTCTTCCTCTACACACATAACGGATACGTGACGCTGCAGGAACACTACGCCACCATGTGTGATCTTCCACCATGCTTTAAAATGTATTGAGAAGAATCTGATGAACATGGAGTTGTTTTAACAAAATTTGCATTTGACCATGAATACAAAATCACTGTTATGATAAACAAAATCGTGATTGTGAGTAAATCATGTTACATGTGTGGGGCCACTGACACAGACCGGCTCACACTGCAAGCCTCAGTCCTTATTGCTCAGATCTAATTATCTGGTTTTTGCAATGTGAACGTGTCATGGTCCTGAAAATGATGCACATGAACAAGAACATCAACACGTCATACTACGTGACACGCGGAATGCGGTTGGGAAGTATGGAAGTTGACAAAATGGAAGCCCCTGAAGTTACACTTTCATGTATAAGAAGTTGTACAGTGGGCACATCATAGTGAATTGTAAATAATGTTTTTATGTGGCTGCTATCTCTTTGCGGAGGTGTACGTGGATACAAAGATGAAGCTGTGAATCAACGGATGTCGCTCTAGAGTGACAGCAAGGTCAATTGCATCCAACCTGGATTTTAACCACATATAAAAGTGGTCAAAAACACCACATTCCATGATGTTATAGCGGTCAGATATGAATGTGAGACAGAATAATGTAAACAGGGCAAGGCCAAACATTCATGTTTCAAAAGATATGACGCTGGAACTGCCACACTGTGCTTTAAGACATCATGGAAGCACATCAGGAAAAAAAGGTGCAGTTTATAGAGCGATTTGTCAGCTCATACAAATGTTCCTCGAGTGTGTCAACGTTGATCTACACACCGTAATACGTATTGTGCCAAAGAGCTGACAGAACATTAGCCAGATCCGGAGAGTCGAGCATCTATCGCTGCATATCCTGCGAGTAAAGTGAGCAATGCTTTACTGGCTGCGACGGGGGCAGAGGGGCCTCCTGCTCCGTGCAATTGCCCTGGCTTTCCTTCCTCAGCTGACATGCAGTATCACCTGTCAAAGTACTTAGATAATTGGATATGAGAGGGATCGCAGTCTCACCACTATAACCAATGACACTGTCAGCAGTGTCATTGAGAACCAGCATCTTCTTGCACTACGGGCCCAGACTGAAGGAAGGGTTGAGGTAAATGTATTTTCGGCTGGCTGACGGAACAGGGGAGGGAGATCACAAATCACCTGGCTCAAAGATTCCTTCACCTCGCCAACGAGAGTGGCAGTAAATGTTTACAGTTTCATGTCATGTAAAAATACTAAAAATACCCTCGTATCCCTGGAGAATGACAAGGTGTTATCTTTCACAGATACAACCTTAGGGCAAAAAACAATGGACACCTCAAAATACATGTGTTTGTTAGGGTCCAAAACTTCACCCCAAAGCCAAGATTGGCAGCCACTAGTTTTATGAGCTCCTATGGTCATACTCAATACATCTGATGGGACAAAACATTCACATTTCCACCATATATCAAGGTGTCAACATGAAGGTGAAGTCATACAGCAGACGAGCCAGTTGACCAGGAGAATAAAGGTCTTCAGTAAACAGGACCTCAGCGTGCCATTTGTGTCGTGATTTTAATATTCCTCTCGTAATGTGATTCTTTTTCATTCCCTTTTGCCCTTACGAGATTTCTAGAATAAGTGCAATATATATTAATTCTGTTCAAATGATTCCCAGCGTAACAGGGCACCTCACAGCTTGCCCTTATTAGCCGAAGCAAATGGAACAATCGCTCTGAGCGGGGAAGAGTAAATCTGAATTGCCTCAACCCAATCCTTTCTTGAAATTCAGTTATAACTACACTGTGCTTTTTTTTCCCTTCTTCATATAATATCACTGGATCTCAAGGAAATGAGCTAAATGTCTTGTTTCTGTCTGCACAACAGAGACCTATTATAGAAGTAATATTTCTTTTGTTTTTTTTTACCAACGTTGAATTGGAAGAAATAACAAGGACTCCATATTCAGATCCTGTTCATGAGGGAGAAAAACAGTAGTAGCCTGAGTGTTGATCCAAATGAAGACTGTAGTTTAATACCTCAGTAACATGAATGACTGAGTTTTATAGCATGCCTGGATTGTGCTGTGGTTTCATAGCAAGAGCAGGGGAGAGGTATAAATGAAACAGCGTACAGGAAGATTAATTACAGAGTGGTAGCTGACATGGAGGCTGTCTGTCTGAGTTATCCTCAAACAATGTGAGGAACCAGAAAACAGCATCTGAACCCAAGTGATGCAGAAAATAAACACACATAAGCATGCAAACAAACACGATACTCACTTTGTTGGCTTAATAAGTGGACTGCTTCCTAAACGAAACGACGGCAGGTCTTCTGTGATCGTACCCTTTCGAAGAAGAAACTTTTCTGTGAGATCGAATCCTGTGAAAAATGTGTGAGCTCAGTTAAACAGGAGAATGCAGACGTATGTACAGATCAACTGTGTCCGGTCAGTGACATACCTGTGATTTGCAAGGGACGATCTAAAACATCAGAAAACCTGCGCTCCTCCACGCTCAGAGGGGGACATGAGCCGTCTGGAGGTAAAGCCCCAGAGAAGCTGTTAGTGCATGTATTGATGTTCAATTATATTTGAACACAGCTTTGAATACTATTTTAGGGAAGAAAATTATTTATTCAATTGTGAATTCATTTCCACAGTGCATTTCCTTTCATTAAAAATAAAACAGAACCACTTGGGAAAAATTGACATCAGAGCAGAAGATCAATTTACAGTTTTTTTTTATTAATATTTCAAACTTCAGTTTTAAAGTTGAAAAAAAAAAATACCCTACTGACACCGAGATGTAATTTGGAGGCAACATTACATCCTCTAAAATCAAATTTAAATTGAGGCTGGCTTTCTGAATACTGATAGTCCTGTAGTAATTGTCTGAAGTTGTAGTTTTTAATTAAAAAAACAAGAATCTGACTTTTTCAGACCAATACATTACTCAAAGAATAGTATAAAGAAACAAACCACTGTAAACACTTCTATAAATATTATACTTTGACACCCACAAGGACAACAAGCACACATACCTGTCTGTTCACTCACTGCCATTCCAAACGTGCAATGAATGGAATTTAAACTCCAGAGGAAAACAGTCCATCCCAGGGAGCACATCATGGCTCCTACACTAGAAAATATTCCACTATAAAACCTGGATGCAAACAGAAAATAAACATATATTTACAATTCAGTTAAATTCAATCTATTCAATCGATTTGGTGAAACTGAAATGGATGAAACACATGCCAGAAAAACAAATCTGAATGAAGTCATATCCTTTACGCAACTATCAGCAAAGGCAGAGTGTAAAAACAAAACTGTTTAAAATAAAAAAGTGTGTTTTTTTTCTTCAAATTAAAGTGATGTATTGTATTTATATAAGTTGTTTACTTTAATTTGAGCAAACTTAATTAATATATTACATTAATATGATACAACAATTTAAGTAATTTAAAGTAAATACTTGTACACAAGGATTCTACTCATTTTTATTAGAAACCTTTTATTTTGCTGCGTGAAACAGAAAAGTTGGCCATAGTTGGATTCATCCAGCTTCAACACTATAACAAACTAACGTCTGTTTCATAACTATGCAAACTAAGATGAATAAAAATGCAGTATGCAGTTTCACTCCTTCATTTCACAGTCTTCAAATCTGCTCTTTTCATTTTAGCAACAAATACAAAACAAACTTAAAGGTCCAGTGTTTAAGATTTAGGTGAAAGGAACTATTGGCAGAAATGTAATGTAGAATAATCCTCATGATGTTTTCACTAGTTCGTTTCGTCTAAATTGGATGAATTGTAGTTTTCTTTACCCCAGAAAAGACACTTTATATTGAAATACTTTATATTAACATCTAGGGGACCCTCACTACAGAGGCCGCCATGTTTTTTACATTAGTCCAGACTGGACAAACTAAACACCTTTTCAGTTTTTATGACAATTAAAGGCTACCACAGGTTCTTTTTCATGTTTGGAAGGAGAGGGTGAGGTGAGGCGTATTCAGCTGCAACATGAAACTTCACCACTAGATATCACAAAATTCTACATACTGTACCTTTAAGTGCAACTTGTGTTATTCTGAAACTAAATCAACTGTAAATCAAGTTGAATTTATTCTTTTACAACTTCGCTCTCAAACCCACTCACGGGTCCCTGAAAGCCTCCTAATGTATTTATGTCAAGTCACTCCACATGGAGAATGCACTGGTGAGTCCTTCATTCATTAGTTTCATGAACACCTGCCGTACAGTGATGAATGGAGATGTCTATACTGCAGCTAAATCATTATACTCTAAGCTCTGTTTATGTTAAGATTTCAATTGATAACCGGTGAGCCGAGCTGCCTCTCGTTCTCCGCAGACAGTTTATAATTCATCAGGTCTGCATGTCGACGCCGCAAATTAGCGGTGAACTGTGCTGATACACTCGATCCAAGATAAACACAACACAATGGGGAGGTGTTGCTGTGTTGTGTGGATCTGGATTCATTAACTTGGCAGGTTTAAGTGGTCGTCATTCATCATTATTCCTGATTAAGTTTACAGCATGCGTCTCAGGGTATCTCTATGAGAGGTTTATTTACAATACTCGAGTACTGGGTTGTTTGTAGCTCAGCCTGTTCTTAAGTCTCTCGTGACAAAGCCTTGATCTTTGTCTCTGTGGTGCTCCATTAACACTCACTTGTGTTTGATGTGGAAGCTGTCAGCGGTGTGTCTCGGTCAAGGACGTCACATGGAGGGATCAAACCCTGGAAACCTCCAGTTACAAGTGGGTCTCTTAAACCACGTGACTGCGCTGCCAAACCAAAGCCTCCTGCATTAATCTCATGCCATTGCAAAGATGGCGAGGCAATCTCTTCTGAAGTACAGTCAATAAAGTACAGTGAGACTATTCTCTGTCTAGACATTGTGAGTAATTTCTGGAAACACTTTGCATCCAATTTCACGCAGCTTTATTTCAAGGACTTTCAAGAAGAAGAAGATGAAGAAGACGAAGAAGCGGCAGAAGCTCAATATGACCCTACGAACTGCTTCATACATCAAATCTAATATACAAACACGTGAATATGTAAAATCAATTTGTGTTCGTGATTATTCTCTGCTAACAACACACTTAATTCCTTGTATGTTAAGCGTGTATTAAGTGCAGGGGCAATTCGTTATAGTCACAATATAACCTGATTTTTTCAGTGTGTAGGTTTGTGACAATACATCTGCAATCCCCTTAATCCTCCCCTTCCTGTTTCACATTCATCTATTTCCACTGAGGAACTAACCGCCACAGAAGACAGAGCTGAGCCCTGAACTTGACCTCCAACGACCACAATAGCAGCCACAACACATTCAGTTAATTTATATGCACAGTGTCACATAAGTGTGACCAACAGTATTTTTAGCCTCAGCTTTTAACAGCCGCCTTCTTATCCAAATTAATTTTTCCCCAAATGATTAATTCCCATCCATGCTTCCCGGAGCACTTGTGCCTTCTCCCGCTGCCGGGTCATAAAGTTTGGCGTGCGGGCCTACAGTAAGCCGTCATGGCGCATGGAGATGAAGTGACCACGCCACTTACAACTGCAGCCATGCATGGGCCCTAGACAAGAAGCAACTACAGAGGTATCACGTTCCCTGTCTGTGTGAAGGCGCACGGCATTCCCATCATTTCAGCAAATGCATGCAACACACGCCGACCCAGAGCCCTGCAGTCACAGTCACTCCACATCTTTACATGACCGACTCCTGTTGAGGATTCTGTTCAGGAGTTAAATGCGGTGCTTTGAAACCCACAGTTAACCTACATGCACTTGTAGAGAGGGATTCTGCTGCACTATCTGCTGTAAATCGGAATCAGTTTCATTCCTATGTGTGTGGGTGTGGATTCTTAGGCTGAAAACAAATTCACACAGACACACAACTTCCATTCATTGTGGACGGGGAATCCAAAACCTTATCTTAACTAATTAATGGCTAATTGGAGCCTTAACCTACCCACAATTCACATCTTAACCCAAACCTTAACTACAACCAATTCATGCCTAACTAATACCTTTACCCAACTTAACCACAATCTACATCTTACCCCTAAACGTAGGACTTCAGAAATTACATTCTGCCTCATCGGGACCAGGCTTATAGGACTTTTGAGGACAGCACATTGATTTGCATTGGTTTCCTTGAGATCTTAACCACAGTCACTACTTGTCTCACACTTACCCTCATCTTAACCTTACCTTAATTATGTCTTCACCTTAAAATGTCTTTTCTCTAATGTGAATGATTTAGGTTCCCACGATATGACTAATACCTGAACCAAACACACACACACACACACACACACACACACACACGTCTCTCCATCATCCACTCAGCCACTTTCCGTCACTGGTAATAACTTCACTGTAACTCTTTGTGATATTCAAAGCAGCGTGTTTCTCTGCTCCACCGCTGATTGGCTGGATGCTTTCGGTTTTTTTTTCTTCTTTTTATTAATTACGGCACATGTAGATCGGTTCATATTCCTCCGCTATCCGCCTCATTTCGGACTTTGCTGTTAACAAGTGATGCAACATGACGGCGCCTGTTTACTGTCGCGGAGCGCTCACAAATCACAAATAACCGTCCCACTTTACGCACAAGTTATTGAGATATCAAGCCGTGCGTAAAAATCCAAACTCCCTCGTGCCAAGCGACAAAATACGCACAGTGTGTCCGTTTCAAATTGATTTTCAACATGTTAACGCGCTTGTCTTTTGCATTGTGAAGCGATCTTTAAATCTGCTGATGCATTCATTTGGGATGAGTACTTACAGTTGCGGGGGAAAGTTTCCTCTCTATGGCAAAAACGCAAACAAAGCGGCGAAAGACGCATAATCCATGTGTGATTACGATCAGTCCGATTCCGGATTCCAGGACTTGGAAATAAAAGTCACAGTGGGATCGCCTGCAGGATCTCGGTCCTTATTAGTTGCACAGAGTGGCCCTCCCACTCTGTCATTATTTCTGAGATGCACTGGCTGAGACTTGAGCAAACAAGAGGAGCGTGCACTGAAAGCTTTCATATTAGGGGGGAAATAAATGTCCATCGGGGAGTCCAAACAAAACTCTCCCATTCAGCAGAGCCAGGTGCGGGAATAACACTCTGTTTGATGCTTTCTCATCTTATCAGATGGTCTGAATAGGAGCCATAATGCATGTGGATTTGTGTCGATTTAATGTAGATTAATGTGTGTTATTGGCAATAAGATCAGGTCAAAGAGAGAATATCAGACCAATACAAACACATATTCTTCTTACCTGTCTATTCATCACCTGGTGCCCTACAGCACATTGTGTTTGCTGAATAGGTGATCCATGATAAAGTGACAGCTCTCAGTAGCCAGGCCCAGCGTTACAGCAACATGCTCCATGCTCATACTATTTTAGTCAGAACACGCAAATGCCATGTCGCAATACTATCCTGCCATACAGGAGGCAACAACTTCAACATTCACTATACACTGTGGAAGTGTAAGGCAGATGCAGACTTATCAGTGTCCTCTCTCACAGCCTGTTAATTCTCCTCTCTACCCAAAGCCCATATAGAAAATGTGTCTGGCAGTGTTTCCTCTCCACATCCACACTGTTTTATTACTGAGCCGCCAGTGGAAACCACATGAAGGTTAAAGCAGAGCAGGACTCGCTGCACTTTTGTTGAAACAGCACACCAACAGTTGAAGACACCCGGTCAGTAAGAAACAGGTGTTCAGACTCCACACACAACACTGTTTGGACAGATGATTTTCATGCACCCTCCTGTTTCACACAGGACACACACACACAAAGACGTATACTTTTCCAAACTGTGATGGCAGAAACAAAGAGGAAATGGTTTAAAGGACAACTGGTGATTGGAATGAAGCAGGTGGCTGTCGGCTATTTCTGTTGAATGCAAAATA